AGTAAAAAATATCGAGTTAGCTAGATACATCGAGTTTCACCCGATCATATGATACAATACTCGATGCATCTAGTAAGAAATAATGGCTGATGAAAAACAATATGAACCAGATACATCTAGTGCTTCATCGTACGCTAAGGTATGTAATGAGTTTTAAATCAAGATAAGATACAGATGGGACGAAAGATGTAAGTTGCGTAATAAGAGAACGAAAGAACATATGTTATATCTTTTTGCTACTCTATTTTTTTCGACCAAAAACATGTTGATAGCAATCAAAACGGAAAGAACGGAATATGAAAATGAAACTTATTATAACGAAAGGAAAGAAAAGGGCTAACGTTAGTGATATGAAATGAATTCTTTTTTTCGTTCTTTTCTTCCACTCTTGACGTCATGTTTTTAAGAACAGCCAAATAATAACAACATATTCTCGATAAATTTATTGCCTGTGTCATGTTCATAAACATTACAAATTATCACAACCTTATTCGTAAATGTGAAGAATTTTAGCTATATATTATATTACACAAAATATTTTGGTTTATAAAATTAATTTACCAGTTCATATTTCTGTTCAAAAATATTATAGTGTCGGCATTGTCGGGTGTTAAACGTGATTTACGATCAGATGTTATCAGGCCAGCAGTTGAAAAACTTCTTTCTGATGATACGGACGATTCTTGGACCTGGTTCCAAACTATTAAATAATGCAGTCACAGACAAAACTTTTGACATAGTTGGTTGTAATTCAGATGATAATTCTCTCGTCGCTGTTTCAAAAGGCTTTAATATGCACTGAAACGAAGCAGAAAAACAAGAAATTATTATTATTATCGCCGCCAGGATATAAGGCACTCGGTTGACTTTCAAATAAGGCGAAAACAATCGAAGATAGCATTAGAAAATTTGGTGCTTGCTCCGCGCTGAACCAAATTGGATAAAAATTGGGCGCCAAATGCAAAATTTGTCGGTGAATCCGACAGCGGGTTTCTTATAATTACATCTTCACTTCTCTTTTGGCGTCGACATAATCAACGTGGTTTTTGCCTAAATTTTATTCTTGTCATTGGCGATTCACCGACAAATTTTGCATTTGGCGCCCAATTTTTATCCAATTTGGTTCAGCGCGGAGCAAGCACCAAATTTTCTAATGAGACATGTAGTTTTCAGCAATCGAAGAAGGACAGTTTAAGCTATACTTTCACAAACCAAATATATTTCGAAAACATTCAGAAGACCGCTTTTCTGGTAGATCTTTGGAAAGTAACTTTGGATTTCTGGAATCCGACACAGTAATTTTTAACCACTCTATCCGAGTCTGTAAATAAGATCAGTAGAAAATATTCTCTTAGTTCCGATGGTTTCCAGAAAACCTTTCCAAAAGCCAAACTATCGTCTGTTAGTTTTTAAAACATTTATTGACCTGTACAGTATACTGTAGATAAAATATCTTGATGTTCTGAAATAACTTCGATGGATTTTGACTGAGTTATGAATTCTATGCTTTCATGCATTTTGAAGGTGCCAGACCGAAGAATAAAGAAGCCCCAGGGAGTGCCTCATATTTTGGCGCCTATAGTAGTAGTAGTAATACAATAAAAATAAATGATCTAACTCACTTTTATCTGTGTTGGTAATTCTCATAAAATTCCTGTACTCAATTTAAATGTTTTTGAAAACTTTTCTTTTCTGAACATAATGTAATTGATTCTTTCATCTATAGCACGCTCCACCATGCAGTAGGTGCTGTTCCATCTTGTTACAACATCCGATACCAGTTGTCGTTCACTTAAATCTAAATAAGAACAGATAGAATAAGAGGCTTCAACATAGTGAATGGCTTTAAGATAAGTGTAATGTTCCGCAGTGCTCACCATTCGTTCACTAATCTCAGTTTCCTAGAAATGAGGGCAATTCTTAAGCTTTTTGTGGAACCTACGTACTAAGGTGGAATTGTTGTTGATGAAAATGTTCTCTGACCAAATGGCTATTTTCCACGTGTGATACCACTTTTCGAATACTTGTTAATGCTTTCGATACTTCACATAATTTTAATACATCTTGAACGCATAAATTAATTAAATGATCGCCACAACCAAACCAGCCTCAATTAATATATTCAAAATTGTAAACAATTTTCATATGTTAGTAATTATAATTCTTACTATATACGTGCTTAACCATATTTTTTTAATCGTCCAGTAAGGGAACATAGAAGAAAAGAATTGGAATAGATTTCACTTTGTACAGAATTGAATTCTCTTTTGAATGAGGTAGGTCTCCACGTTTGCACCACGCTGGTGGTACGATACAGAAAGAATATTAGTTTTCGATTAAACGATGGGTCAAATTCTTCCATTTAACTTCCAGACTAGACTTATCTTATTCAGTTTTTGATGCTCTTTCGAATGGCTTAATCCGAATTTGTTTTTCACCCATCCATTCTCGAGATTCCGTGATCTCACTGAAGGGTATAGCACTTTTGGCTTAAAGTAGCGTTTTAATCCTAAAGAAAAAGCTTTTCAAAATTATTGTTTTACCAAAATGTAGCTGGCGGTCTTCTCTATCGATTAATGTAGTTTTCATATTTTGTTTGTGCTTATACAGCGTAAAAAGAGGCTTTTATCAACTGTACGGAAAATTTTTGCCGACCGGAAAACGTTCATTTTTCGGTCTAATGAGCCTACACAGAACAACCAGAACGTAAAAAAGGGATCGTTAGCTGGACAAGCCGCTCCCTTGCTATCAACCGGGGCAAAAAATAAGGTTATCAATGTCGATTCGCGCAAGTGAAGGGTGAAGCTTTCTCATAGCTAGCTGTATGTTCAGTTAGCAAGAGGTAAGTCTTTGCTCTTCGGGACACAAATTCAAAGTTAAGCGTACTATCTTGGGGAGAATATAAATTTTTGCTGTGAATTTATATACTTCTACATTACTAAGGAAGGTTGACAACCGCCACAATTATACACTCTATAGAACTACAAAGACATTACAATCTTTGTATGACCACCATACGTACTTTACTGCATCGATAGTCATAAGCAAAATACGCATAAGATTTTGCTAGTTCCATTGAACTCAATGAACTCGATAACATAATGATGCTTGATTGCTGCGCGTTATGGGGTTGATTTGATTTCACCGATTTTTCTAATAATGGAAGAAAACCCAGATATAAATAACAAAAATGAGTTTACTACTCTATTTGAAACTTATTTATATTAGAATGACCTACCTTTGTCACTTTCCATGGTCCGATAACATTACTGTTATTGGTATCAAGCATTTCTTTTTCAAGAATATTGTCCAGTTGTAAATATTTTTCCACCCCAGCGTTATTGATCAACATATTCAAACCTTGTCCATTTAGCTTTTGTTCAACTGTATGATAAGCCGCTTTTATACTTTCATCATCAAGGGTATCTAAACGATGTGGCACAGTTTAAACAGATTTAGACAAACATTCGGAATTGTCAAGCTAACCTAATTTAATCGGTACAACATTCTTATGCTTCTTTCCTAAGTCTAATAATTCCTACAATAACAGAGAATAGCCGTTGTAACTGAATTTTCCAATGAATAATAGAAATCTGAACCTACTTGAGAATTTTGTTGATCACGATAGGTAGCAAAAATAATTTCCAATTTCGGCTCGGTATTCAGTGCCAAGCGTTTCACAAGCCCAAAACCAATGCCACGATTAGTTCCCGTAATGAGTACACTCTTCATGTTAGACAAATCAAAATCACAAAAAATACTATAGTTCTAAAACGATTTCATGAGCAATATATGTCTGGCGTTTGAATGATTCTGCAATTTTATTGGGATCAATGAGGCGAAATGCTCTGTAGTCGTTCAAGTTCGTTTTTACTTTCGTATGGACACATCATACCGTGAGGAAAAAACCTTTTTCACATTTCATAGTAAGGCGTCGGAAATTCGACCTTTTATTACAAATGTACTTTTATGCATGGTAGAAGAGAGTGTATTGAGAGGTGGAAGAAAAGGTGATATTGAGATATTGAAAATGATTTATTTAAGTGGAAAACGTGGAGGGATAGATATTTTCGAAAAACATATACAGCCGCGGCAAAAATTTGCCGTACACGTCTATCCTCTATTTCTTTTGGTCATAACTCGGTAACGAAAAAAGCTTTTGACAAGCGGTTTGCACCAAAGTATTCTCCTCTCCCTCTAATATATTTGCAGATAAAAAAAGTTAGAAATATTCATGGTTGTTCTGCTTAGACTCATTAGACCGAAAAATGAACGTTTTCCGGTCGGCAAAAATTTTCCGTACAGTTGATAAAAGCCTCTTTTTACGCTGTATAAGCACAAACAAAATATGAAAACTACATTAATCGATAGAGAAGACCGCCAGCTACATTTTGGTAAAACAATAATTTTGAAAAGCTTTTTCTTTAGGATTAAAACGCTACTTTAAGCCAAAAGTGCTATACCCTTCAGTGAGATCACGGAATCTCGAGAATGGATGGGTGAAAAACAAATTCTGATTTCGATCGAAAACTAATATTCTTTCTGTATCATACCACCAGCGTGGTACAAACGCGAGGACCTACCTCATTCAAAAGAGAATTCAATGCTGAACAAGAATATGGTATTAAAAAAAAAATTCTAACATTGGCACGTAGGCTTAGAAAGGGTTTCTGGAAAATCAAGACCTCAAAACCAGTTCTCTGGGTTTGACCGAATACTTCTAGCAAACAGCGTCATTCGATAGAGCAAACATTTCTGAAAAAAATAAGAGGTCTCCGAGTACTTCACGACCATTCTTCATCGAACTGCACTCAATTTACTAAAAGCCTCAGACACAGTAAAGTCATTGAAATTTTCCAATGCCATGTGACACAAGTCCCATGAACAGCAGACGAAAGTATATTATTAAGTATATACTAAATGATCTAACAACATATAGGATACAGTATTAGGATCAAATGCGGGTTAGATTTTTACCTGTATCTAGGTATATTGGGTGGTGGGTTGGATTACCTATATAGGACTGCCCAATACTCGATATTTTATATTCGCTTAGTGATTCCCCTTACCAAATGCGTTTCGATGCATGCTACAACACTTAACTAGTAAGACCTTGCCGGCAGAATTTGCTGTAAAAGGTTGGAGAACCTGTGCGCAATTAGTCGATATCGGTCCAATGTCGCCATTCAGCAACGTTACCAGCAGCACCATTTTCTGTACGTAATTTATATTTATCATATTTATTTTCCACTATTACGGCTAATATATTACGTGCATCTGTCGGACCACGATCAACATCTGGTACCGGTACCAACTAAGCTAATTGTGGTCCATAATATATAATTTATTACAGCCTACTAGACAAAATGGTCTAGAACTTAGTACCGTAGAAATAAAAAGCCATCCTGACGAGCTTTTTATCTTTGTCAATCTGTAAATAACATTTGTCACGTAAACCGAGGTGTCAGTTGTGATTGATTTAGGACAAAAGCCGAATTGTTGACCTGAGAAAAGATTATGTTTATGTAAAAGGTCAGCTAGATGCCTAGGGCTTCCGACTATTCTCTCTATCGACTTGATAAACACAGAAGTAGAGGTAGAGTCGCTGATGCCTATGTGCGAAATGATATTGAGCCGGCGTTTATTGCATCTTCGGAAGAAATTGAAACAATCTTAGCTTATTTAGAAGTAAATGGTAAACTGTTTCTTTCTTGCAATAGTTGTCGAGCTCCTCATCATAAGCTGTTGACAGTAGATGCAAAGACTTCAGAAGACGAAAGATACTCAGAAATATTTCTAAGTTTGGTATTTAAGAATTTGCGTAACTCTAAAAGTAATATATGAACATTTGTGGAACTTTTTTCTCATTCGTGTCAACGTTCGATAGAAATATTTCCCAGTTGTAACGACTTATATTTGTGCAAGTTTCGCTATTATTTTTATACACTAATATTTTGAATGGAACCAATGCGACATTCAAGTGACGCATACATTCGAAGTGAAAACGTATTGGAAAACATTGGGTCCTGCTATGGTTTGATATTAAATGCAACATTTTTTCTACAATATCCTACTGTAATTGAATGTACGTAATGATAAAAATAAATTGTCTCTTTCGTTCCTTCTATTATTCTCAATAACAATTTCAAAAAATCTTACCATTGCTGTTCTGAACATAGGAAAAAACCATTGATTTTCGATATCAAAGATACGAAATCAAGGGCTTCTCCTGCCACACACTGTATACTCACGCACAATCACTGACAGTCACAGATACTGTTATTAGTTATCATTTTTGGAATGCACTTCTAGTTCTGGTGATATTGCACGAACACTATCCATGTTTCACTACTAAAAAGGAAGAAATTGATTATCAACATGCTATGAAGCATTTTTCATAGGACTGAACACGCAAACATTGAATTCATTTGCATCGTGTTCGCGCGTAGAGAATTGTTTCCACGCATGATAACGGTACAAAAGGGCTCCTAGAGAATGTCGAGTTCGTCTGGAATACAGAGTGAAGACTTATTTACTTTTAGGTGTCTGTTTCCTGTTTTTTTTTCCCTGCTCTGATCAGCTCCAGGGTTAGAGCACGAAAGTGGTAAGACCAGACCTAGATAGTCTGTATTTTCGACTGATCAGACCAACAGAAGAGAAACGAACACTAATCAGGTTCAAGACCAGATTTTTTTATCATAACCACCGTTTTATTTTCTTGAGACATGTAGTACATAGTGACCTCGAACCCTTCGAAAAATTTTAAAATTATTCTCATCGATAATGCGGAGGATCAGAAAGTTTTGTGTCATAACGATCAATTACTTATCCTTTCCATTGAGAAAACAAATAATAACTGATTTTCACGAGTGGTGACATGAGTTTACTTCATTTTCGCACATGAACGAAAGTGGTTCAGCCGTGTTCAAGAGCTGAAATTTGAAAAAATAGTGATTTGTACCATTAACCCTTATAAAAATGTTGTCGAAGATTTATGAAATTCAGGATTCTGTGAATAATCTACAATGAAAAACTATGAGATATGTCATTATTTATTATCAGTCACAGTTTAGAGACAACCACCCTCGTTTTTTTTTCAAAACTTTGCAACCCACATCAAGATGTATAAAAAATTCAAAAATTAAGTAGGAAACAGTTCGTCACGCTTTTCGAGTATTATTTTGCCCTAGAGATTCCATCAAAATCAAACTTGAAGATAGTCAAAAGATAGCTCAGGAGGTACAAAATCTATGGTTAGAAGGAAAAAATTCAAAACCATTTCGGAGAACAATGGACACCATTGAATTTTTGCCCCTACATTTCTACTAAATGTCCCGTCAAGCTTTAACGTTTGTTTTCGCTATAAAGTCTGATCCACTTCGTTTTAGGCAAAGATTATTTTACCACACAAGCACCTAATTATACCTGTAGTGAAAAAAACGAGACTTCATCTTTTGTTTTGACTGAGAAAAGCTAACTTTTCTGCTAAAATGGCCCGTGTCGTCACGCTTTTTTCTACTACATCCGCTAATTTCTGAGTTTCCCTGTTGAGTGGTAGTGGCAAAACAGTTATTCTCCGTCTCTCTGAAAGTCTACTTATCGATTGTACTATTTAGATTCTTTTTAGTTTGATATGAGTTTTTCGAAAAGATTTTTATCTAAACGGTACATATGGATCGCAATTCTCCCATATATGTGAAAAATTATTTTTTGACCGATAACTGTATCTTTCGATTGCGTTATTAACAAAACGGCAAATTAACTGGTGTTCACGAAAGACATTTTTTATTCTGCGGTGTTATCGTATCCAGATACATTTACACGCTAGTTTCGAATATTCTCGTAGTTAGAATATTCTCTCGTGTTCACACGTGAAACTGCCGTGAACGACTTTTTAACGTGGTAACGGTCAAATTCACGAAAAAAGTGATAAATTAACTAGTGTTCACAGTTCATTGATACATATCTAGTGTCTGTACACTAATGATCGTGCGTGCAAAGCAATGTTTCAGGAAATATTGCAAACAATTTCCACGCATGTTCACATGGTGGAAGGGATGAAAATTTCCACATGGGTGGCGTCAGATGTCTGTTTTCGATTGCTGAAAACCGCAACGTTCTATCTTACGCTGTAATTGCGTTATTAAAAAAATAGCAACCTGCACTGTATTTTGGTACCATAATAGTTTGTACATTTTTCTTAAACTTCTAACAGCACTCTCGCTAAAAAAATAAAATCATCTAGGCCATTGAGTGTGCTGAATATAAAATATGACTTTGTTGCGACTTCAAATGAAGGTCATTTTGTTCTTCACGTTGATATCGTTCAAAGGCAGCGAAACGAACTCTTTCACGCGACTAAATTAGAATATTCTTACATTTGAGCCAGCAGTTCAGATGTTTTCCTGGCTATATTTTTCCAGTGATTAGAACTTTTCCCTGTATTTTTCTGTAGTTAGATAAGATTCATATAAAACTGTACATTGTGGATTTTCAGTTCAACGGATAAAACGAAGAGCGCTTCGTCCAACTCACTATAATGAATTGCTATTCTTTATCTTTAATAATCAGATATTAAAGGTTTTCAAGCTGAAATCGTTTATTTACACAGG